TAAACAAACCTAAATTATATATTAAGTATATAACTTGAATTTATAAACTCATATTTTCATTAAAAGAAAATTACTAATAACCAACTTTATATTAAGCATGCCAAGAAAATAAACTACTTAATTACATCATTGGCTTAATTACGTGGCAATATATAATTAAAAAGCAATTGAGAGAGGTGACATGAACCTGCAATTAACTGTTGTTGTTCCATTTTCATGCAGAGAAATTGATTAATTGAGAAAAAGCGAGAGACAGGTAGACCTACATGGACTGTGGTTTGTTGATAGCAATGGGTCAACACACAAATCACATTGCAACCAAACAAAATAATTTCTAATTTACTATTAAATGCTAATTACTAACGTTGAATAAACATTGTTTACTTGTAACAAACATTTTCTTATTTATATTTGTTAGCTTTGAATGCACTTCTAATTTATTTGGTTGTTGGTGTTTCCAGTTGCAAACTTGGATCCAACCATTATTATTATTTTTTAATAACAAAGTTTATGTCTTTAGTCCCATGAGGCGCAAGTAAACTTTCTAATAAGATATTAGTTAGTACCTAATAATCTTAAAGATAAGATTTATTAAGAAATAAGTGTTATTTATAAGTTAGATTTAATATTGAAAATTTAAAATTATTATTTAAAGAAATTAATTTATTAAATACATAAAATAAATATGAAAATACGTCTTTAAAATCACTCAAAAAAATTAATTTCAACTATCAAAATTTTTAAAAATCAATCCCATGACATTTTACTAGTAAAAAAAAATCAACGATCTAATTAATTTAATAGTTATCTTATTCTATTGAAAATAAGAGATCATGAGTTCGAAACGCATGATATATCGATTCAGTGAAATAAAAGATATGAAATGATTATCTCATTATGCAATCAAAATAAAAAATAAAAAACTATCTAACTAGGAGTAACTCAATTACTATTATTATTATTATTTTTGGAGTAAATTAGAAGTCCTTGATGGTAGCTTCTGGAAGGGTTGAAGAGATGGGCTGCAAATTTTGTGTGCAACATGTGAAAATGGAGAAGGCACGCAAAAAACAGGAAAACGAGGGATTATTATCATTACATGTTTCCATTTTTTGGGGAAATATTATATGTTTGCATTGATGGACCAAAACGTGCCGTATTGTGTTAGAATTGAAAATGATTGAGAGGTCCTAGTCACGTCAGGATAGAAGCTAGGTATTGACTAAGAAAGACACCTCCTCCCCACATTAGATCGGAATATTCTAAGAATATAAATGTCAATTTTAATTACCTTTCTCTTCTTCTTCTTCTTCTTCTT